TATGTAATAGGAAATTAGATTGTAATGAAACAACTTGATAAAATGATAAAAATATTATTTGCCATAAGGCAACTATGCATTCATGGTGATAAAGCTTGATGAGGCAACCTAACAAGGACGGTTGAACGGATCATGGCATATATATTCGTTTAACACATTTAACTGGTTAAACACGCTATCATCCGTATTCTGGCATTATGACTTGTCATTCATCACAACAGCTTGTGACTACTTTTACTTTTCATCGTTTTGTGACCTTTTGTCAAATTTTCTATTCCAAAACGATCGTCCCATAATAGAACACTTCAGTTCTCTATGAAAACAGGATCAAAAAAGCTGGAAAAAAACCTTATAATGACCTCGCCCGCGTTACAATGACGAACATATGACTGTACATGAATGCACTTCTTGTACGTGTACTAAGAGGCGCGAGCATTATGAAAATTTCAATTTATCATTAATTAATTAGAAAAATATGTTAACAGTGTGCACCTTAACAGTAAAGTTACAAAAAAAAAAAAAAACCAAAAATTGAAGACAAGTAGCAGAATCGTTAAGCATCGCGACTACCGTCTGTCTGTTGTCGCTGATTACAATGTGAATGCGATCGAGTTTAATTGGATCCTAGAGTTACAGTGAGTTCTTAATCGGTAAAGACATAACACTTACTGGTTGAGCACACACCCACTAGTCTGTAGCCGATTCCCTGTCTCTTTCCTTACTTCTTTCTGTATTACACGAGTAGGGGATCAATTGCTCCAGTTATAACCCTTCTTATAAAATTTTCAAAGAAATTTTTTAATACATATATATATATATAAGTATGCAAAGAAAATATAATTATTTACCTAAAAAAAAAAAAAAAAGAAAAAAAGCTACAATCTCTATTACTCAATACGCATTCTCCATAAATGGTTGGCAAGTGAGCTCGTTTAGATTTCACATAAGACTATTTTAGAGCTGTTGACGCCCAAACCTAAATCAATGGAACCAAAAATTTTATTATCTACTTCATTTCAGATATGATTCGAGCAAGACCAAGAAAAAATATATATATATATATATTTAAATCTAACCGGACCACAGTTCATTTGAACTGCGAACTTAAATATAATTTCACGCTACAAATTCAGAAATATTTTCCCGCTTTAGGTCAAATTAATACTTTATCGTGGTGACACGACTAACTCTTTTCATTTTTCTGACAAATTTTACCACAACAAATTTTATAGGCCTTTTACAGGCTCTTGGACAGGGAGGGCGCGATAACGAGCAAAATCTTCAAGCTGGAAAAAGCGCTTGTTGTCCCCCAAACATTACGCCGGAATCTCATAGAATCGATTGGTGTTTTAATCAATTATTTAACTATCTTTTTTCGCATTTTTCGCATTTTTGGTGTTTGTTTTCATTCTTTAAAATCATAAATTTTGGGTACTATATACACCAGATATATATATATGTTTAAGCGCTTAACGTTGCTGTTCATTTGATAGCGACCCTACTACTTTTCGTTAGTTTTAGTTAGTTAGTTGGTTTCAAATTAAAAATTTAAACTAGTAGGCATTGATAAAAGATATGCATGCATACACTTACACATGTTGTTTTCGTAACCTCTACCAGACAATAAATTTAAATTAATTTCTGACATTTCGCTTACAATGCTCACAATAATTGCTATACATACCATGAACGTAGTTGAATCAGTTTACTCAAATGTCTCCGTTTGTCTGACGATATTTCTGTTTAACTCTTTTTTTTTCGTATTCATTTCGTGAAGACTTTTGCGAGGCCAGAAGAAAACTAGAGTAAACTTCCTAAATACATTCTTGATCAATATCAATCTCCTGAATGTGGACCCAAGGATTACAAAAATCGAGATATTGACTTCAAGTTTGGCGGAAGAAAACTGGTCTTGCAAGTGAGCAAATGCAAAACTTCCGGTGCCAAAAGCTAAAAAAATTATGGCAAGACGTATCGCGATCTCGAAGATCTATTGTGCACGCCTATGCTCCTAACCCTCAAATATTAGGAATTTTATGAATCCCGCTATCTTCTTTAGATCGAACCACAATACCGTGTCCGGCGTTGTAAAATGCAGGCAAAACATTAAGTGTTTGACTCGACAGATGGCCTCACATTCACATGGATTATGATGAAATGTTTCACACATCACTCGACAGAATTTGCATGAATCGGCATCCAACGTACCCGTACTTTTCAGATGGTACCTGAGGAAGCCACGTAGAAGCTGGTGACTCAACGTAGGACGCTTCTCCTTAGTTCCAGCCATTTATTTGCCCTATCGAAGGATTTTATGAATCTTTCTTCCTGCCATTCTCCTGCACTTTGCTGTCAAGGGCAATCCGCTTTATCCTGTGCCCATTGCGATACCAGCCTACTAATGTGGCTTCTTGCTACGCCATAGAACCGTTCAGAACATACCATTGCTCCTCGGCCTCGCCTCTTGGCTAGACCAATCAGCCCTTTCGTTGCCCTCAACACCGATATGGCCAGGCACTCACCTTAGGTGCACCTCATTGTGCCTGCTTAGCTCAGTCAATGTTTCAAGACACTCCAACTCAAGCCTGGATATTAGCATTCGGAAATGGGTATCCTGCTCACTACTAATAGACCAGGCAGCAGAATAATACCATATTCGGCTCAACTAATGTCGTAGAGTACGGAAAGTTCATCTTTTTACCCTTCAATACTTGTGATATAACGGTATGTTAAGTTTGTGGGGATTTATGTAAAGCCCAGAAAGACTTAAGATTAGCCTGTTCTTTCCTATACCGATCAATTCAATATCACTTTCTGAATGAACTTAAGCTTAGCTGTCCGTCTGTCCATCTTGTTTACTGATATTCAAGCTAAAGGCTGCAAATTTTTGAGATATTTTGATGGAATTTGTTACACCGACGCATTTTTCCCCAAGGACAAACTCTATTGAAAATGATTTTTTCGGTTCGGCGCACTTTTTCGATCACCTCCCGTAAAACGTCATATGAATAAGTTTGAGATGGTGTAAGGTATTTAAACATCAGTCATAACTAACTGTAGTATTTTTACGTCTTTTCGTTTTCGTTTTCTTCTTTTTTTTTTTTTTTTTGAATTTGTTAAGATAAAAGATTCCGCCAAAGTTGAATATAATTATAAATTATTTAAATATTTAAAGCATGGAATATTAGTTTTAAACTTTATGTTCCTTCATCTACGTTATACAACAACTAAATATAATTATTATGCATTTTTCGCGAAATATCTGAAACGAGTTAACTTTATAAACAATACGTTTCCATGTTTGTTATGTAAATACAATAAAATAATGGGAGAAACCAAACAAATATAATAAAAGTATAAAAACACACAGAACAAAAAGAAAAAAAAAAACAAAAAAAAGCAATGATTTATTTCTTTAAAAACGTTGAAGCCATCAGTTTTTTCTTTCATGCAGAATTTTACTCAGTCTATTGAACAAATGGTAGATTTTACCTAAAGTTTTTCCTTTTCAGTTTTTTCATAGTCTCAGAAAGAAAATTTCCAAGTTTTCTTTACACCCACCACAATGCGTGCTCGTTTTGCTCTTTTCCATAATGTATGTAAGATCCAAGAGTCTCCAAGAAGGCTTCGGAGACCCTTCGGAGAGTTTACAAATTCTTGATCAGCGTGAAATTCTGAGTTGATTTAGCCATGTCTGTCCGTCTGTGCGTATGCGCGATGTGCGTTGTTGGGACTCTTCTAGTTGCAAAAATTAAAAAAGATATTGACAGTAGAAGCGCGCAGTGGAGCGTAAACTTAACGCAACTCAGTTTTTTTTTTTGAACAAAAACTTTTTTTGGAATTTTCCTCGTTACTCCGAAAGGCTGAAATTGTACGTGATTTCAAATAATTATGCAAAATAGTTCCTAAAAAAAAGAATTTGAATTTGTTTAGCTTGTTTGAAAGATATTTTCATATAGATTGATAGATAGATAAAGCGTCCACAAATATATTTCCCATTCTTCAATATGGACGGAATAGGCGTCCGAATACATTTGTATCTTATTTCTAATAATATTTAACCGAGTCTTTTAGGAGTGTTTTTGCAGAGCTCTGTTAAAGGAAATGGTAGATGTCTTTGCTAGTTAAATCCGAATTTATCTTCCCAACATCCCAAACATATTTGTATTCTATTTTTAATTGAAAACAAGTAAGAACCTATAGTCGACTAAATGCCCTACATTACTACGCCTAGTATAGTTATTCGTTCGTTTTGGTAATAACATATTAGTATGTATTTGCATCATTTCCATGTGAAAGCATACTTTTTATCAAAGGCCACATAGGAAGTGTGCCTAAAACATCACACGACGTGATCCAAATTTAGCAAACTTAACTCACTTCCCAAAGCTTCTATAATTTTTCATTTTCCATTATAGAAAAGTAGAAAATAGACTTTTTGTCTATGCAAAGGCTGGCTTTTCGTGATATACCCTCCCTATGTTAGGGTTGAGGAAATACGTGATACAAATTCGGTACATTTGACTTCTTCGTCACTTATGAAGCAATTTTCTTCGTGAAATATTGAAAATTATACTTTTTTAACATATAAAGAAAATCGAATTTTGGAGGAAGGGTTATATGAGAGAGCGTTTAAATTTTTCATGGTAATTATGAATGACGAAATACTATTACTCAGCGAGTTTTGTCGAGAAATTTTAAAGATTGCAATTTTTCATATAACAAAGGAATCGAGTGGATCGATTCAATAGCGTCCGTCCGTGGTTCAAAGCACGTCAATGTAAGAAATTTCAACAAAATCCCGACAATTTTTGTTAGATTTAGAAAATAATTCTAAATCGATCGGTTTAATTAATATTCGTGTCGCCGCACAAATCTAATATACCCTGTGTGACATATAAGTGCTCTAGATAATAAAAATATAAATTAATTAAATTTTTAATTAATTAATTTAAATTTTGTTTATTAATTGTATGGACATTTTAAATGTTTACTTACAGAAACAACTGGCGAACTCGGCTGGGCATTTACTTTGATCGTAGTTTCAATAATATCGGCGTTGCTAGGTGCTATTATAATGGTTATAGTTCTAAGGTGTAGAAGGTAAGTAAAACATCACATTTACCCAATTTGAAAAAACAAACAAACAAACAAACAAAAAAAAAAAAGAAAAAGAATTCATTACAAATTCACTTAGATTTCAAAAATCGTAAATCGTTAGCATTCTATTCTTTATAAATAATTTAATTATAATTTATGCCTGTGTTAAAGTTCATTTTTATCGTTATTTTTCTGATTATGACTTTTTTTAATATCTTTTGTGTCATCCAGTCTCTCTCTCTCTCTCTGTCATTGTCTAGTGCTTGGAATATCATCATTTAGTGGAACATAAACAATAACAATGTCTTCAAAATGAACTCTATTTCCTCGTTACGATAGTCATTTCACTTTAAATACATTTACACTTCATTATATATACTTTATAATTAAACAATAACGTTTCTTCTTTTTATACCCATCGCCAAACGATGGAGGGTATATTCATTTTGTCAAAATGTTTGCAACGTCATCATCAGAGACCACACAATATATATATATATATATAGAATCAGTCATCATCAGAAACCACACAATATGTATGTATATATATATATATGTTCTTGATCAGCAAGAAATTCTAAACCGATTTAAGCATATCCGTCTGTCCGTCTATCCGCCTGTTGTAAACATTCTCCTGGCCGCAAAAACAAAGCTATCGAATTCAAATCTGGCAGAAATATTGGAAGTTCTTGCGTGCAAATTGATATTGAAAATCGTTGAAATCGGTCGAAGGACACGCCCGTGAGACAACCTCTTTTTCCCCAAAAAAGGAAGAAAAAATTTAGTTTTTTACTCATTACTCATAAACTATAGCGGACAAATCTAAAAAAATTTAAAATTAAATGTTCTATAAACGATGTTATAGCACCTGTACAAAAGTTGGAACAAAATTGACCACGCCTACCCAATATTATAGTGCATCAAATTTTAATTTTTTTTCATTCCCTTTGATAACAACCCCAGAAAAGATATGAATTCTTGGCCAGTTTCAAATTTGGAATGCATGCTAAGCATGTCTGTCTGTTCGCTTGTCCATATGTCTGTCTGTGCAATTGTGTGGTATTTGTGATAAACATTCTCCCGTTAACGATAATGAAGATATCGCCTAAAAAATTTTCAAAATAATTTGGAAGTGAGTTCAACTATTCCGCGTTCACGCCCACAACCAAAAAAATCAGCGGCGCGCATTCCATGTTATCGACCATGAAAATTTGGTTCTTTTGCATTTTTTGTTTTTTTTTTTTTTTTTTTTTTTAGGATAACTGTGATGCGTATAAAAGATTCGTCTACGACCGAATATAATTTTCTTACTTGTTTGTGTGTGTGTGTTTTTTTTTTTTTTCTTTTTTTTTTTGTTCTATGCTTCTTAACTACAAAGAAGAATTATTATATTTCTTTTTGCTCTGTTTTCTTTTAATTTTCATAAATAAGCGTTGAAAGTTTTTAAAGTTTACAAACACACAAACACACACACACACATACACACACAGTTTGCTCTCTTTGAAGGCAAAGAAAACAAGAAAGTTGTACTTGTATTTTGGTTTTTTTTCTTTTCAACATTCATTCGCTTAATAGATCCCGTTAAGCAATTTTTACGAAATAACTTTCAAGTAATTGCAATAACAAAGCATGCTTGAACAGAACAGTGTAGTGTAATAGTGTTCAAGATTTTTTCATCCTTCCGTCCTTTTTTCATTTTTTTTTTTTTTTTTTGCTTTTACTTTCATTCTTACGCATTTTACTTTGTTTTACTGCGAAAAATTTTGTCAAAACTTTTATCAAAATTTCAAATATTTAATAAAATAATTTAATTATAATTAATAAAAATCTAGTTAAAACCGAATTTATAAACAAATCGTAAATGAGTTAGTTACCAATCGAGTAGATATATAAGTGAATTAAAAGGCAAGCGCAGATTGATTCTTCTGATTGAAACAATTCAAAATACACCAGAAAACCCATAAAATAAATGTAATTTTGACGATCATAAAACAATGAATAGGATAAGGTATTTCACGCCCTCTCACTGTTATGACCTCTCGTACTTTGTTAAGGAACTCACATTCACAAATTTCTTATAGGAATAGTGAAGCCAACCATAATTTTACAATAAGCAAATATTTATAATCGATATTGCTTTATAACGTCGTGGAAATATATCCCAAAGCCATTTAAGGTCAGTCCCATATACCAGTGATCCCGAGTGGATAGCTAATATTATTAACATAATCCTTTTCAGTTTTTAAAAATTTAATTTAAATTGGCTAAAAGCAGCGAACTTATTAATCCGAAATAATGACTTATGATCTTAAGCAGAATTAAGCCGACCTGGCTTATCAGATTTGCAAATTAAAGTTGAATTGAATTGAAAGCAATGCATTTGTCATGATAGCTGGCCTATCAAGCGTAGAAAGATGCAAATGATAGTATGTTATATGTACGGTCGGCACAGAATCTTTCGTACCCGTCACCGCTTACCCCAAAAAAGACAAAAGAAATAAAAGGAGAAAATTTTCATTGCTCTATCCCAATATGGAGTGGGCGCAAGAGATTTCTTCTATTTTCAAAACAAAACTTTTTGTAATATAGGCATAAGGGCGTTGTAGGCGTGTTCTTTAAAATGAATGAAGGTCAGTTCCAAATTCTTTTGTAAATTTATGATCGATATCTTCATTTCCGCTAACGCGACACAAGTCGCAGTCTTTGTGGTAAATATTTACCAAAAAGACTGCACAGTTGCCCAAAGCGAGAGATGGACAGACGAATAGACGGACATGTTTAGGTGCATTCCAAATTTGAAACTGTCCAAGACTTTATATATAGTTTGTAGAGTTGTTGAAGCTTGTTGTTGCGTCTTATAAAAGGTATTGCAATTTAAAGATACCGCACTATAATATTGGGTAGGCGGGTGGGTGGTCGATTTTGTCTCAATTTTTGTACAGGTATTATAACATCGCTCATTTTTAGTTAATGAGTAATGAGCAAAAAACCAATTTTTCATTCCTTTCGAAAAACAGAGATGTTCTCAGTTTACATGGTGCTGAGGGCGTGTCCTTCGCCAGATTTAAAATCGATAGCCTCATTTCTGCGTCCAGCAGAATATTTACAACAGACATTACACAGACGAACAGACGGTCAGACGGACAGATGGACAGGCTTAAATCAAGAATATATACATACTTTGTCGGGTCTCTGATGCTGACGTTGCAAACGTTTTGACAAAATGAATATACCTCTCATCTTTCGGTGATGGATATAAAAAGAAGTACTGATTAGAAACTAAGAAAACCTCGAAAAAACATCGATAATTTTTGTTACATGTTTCCCCATTCCGTAATGACATTTCAGAATCACCTGCGAATAGGTGTTAGAGTAAATCGGAAATAAATTGGAGAGAAAGTGAAATTAAAATATAAACAAAAGTCACATCAAAAAAAAAATTAAAATTTTATGTATAAACAATTCTCTTAAGCATTGACCCACGCGATAGTTCTAGTGTTAAAAAATGATGATAAACATGTTTACTAATTTGTTATCTTCTTCTTTTTATTATTTACTTATAGAATAAAATCCGCCAATGCTAACGGTAAGTAACGCAATACATGACACGATATATATTTTCCTTTTTTTTTTTTAGCTAAAGCATCTCACCTCAGCGAAATTAACCATGAAAGAAATAATAAAAATAGAGCGAGAGAGAAAATGAGAATATGACAAGTTAGAAAGCGATTCGTTGCTTTAATGATATGTTTTAAAATGCTTATCACTTTCCATGATATCATCAATTAGTGTTACTTGAGCCCGAAAGGAAAATAAATTAAAATCATTTATTATAAAAATAAAAAAAAAAGACAAACGAAAAAGAAATCATTTATTGTTAACTTATAATGAGAGAGAGAAAAAAAAAAAAACAATGATGTCGCCTAAAGTTTCACTTTATATGCTAAAAGACAAATTTCACTGATAGGTCACAGAAACACCTTTTTAGTGAAACTGCAACACCAGCATGCCTTGTACAGAGTAAACAGAAAACGCACCTTTTTACTAAAACCCAAAATGTAGCAAATAAACAGGAAAACAATCGGAGGTTGTGTAGCTGTTTCCTTTTAATTTTATTTTACTTTTTGCTTTTCATTTAATTCGCCAAAAACTTTGTTTAATTTTAAACTGTCATTTGTCTTAGTTGGTTTGGTTTTTGCGTTTTCTTTGCCTTTTTTTTTTTTTTTTTATTTATTATTATTTTTTTTATTTATTTATTTTTTTTGATTTTTTCAAGGAGGGAATAACACTGAACATATAAGTTAGGCGCCAGGTTTTCGCCTACATTGCCTCTTGTTAAGAATGTGTATATGTGTGTGTGCGTTATTTTGTGTGTATGTTTATATTGTGTGTGTGTGTGTGTGTGTTTATTTTGTGTGTATGTATGTGTTGTGTATGTACGTATGTATGTGTTTTAATACTAAAATGAAAAAAGTAAAAAAAAAAAAAAAAAAAAAAAAAAAAAAAAAAACTTTGTATTCTTTAAAGTATTTTTCTTCAAGTTTTTTTTTTCGGAAATGTTTAAGATTTTTCATTAGGTTCGGTTTTCGTTTTGTTACGTCTGTACACACGATATTTGTGTTATTCGGTTGAGTGCAACAACATAACACACTCTGACAGTTAAACGATTTGTAGCGGTAATTGTTGTTGTTGATTTTAATGTTGCTTACAAAGTATCATTCGCATCTCTCGTGTTTCATGATTTAAGCAAATAGTTTCCTTTTCTTTTTTTTTTTTTTGTTTTTCTTATTTCTCTTGTTTTCCTCTACAGAGCTAGACACATACACACGTACAAACTTACGTGATTTTTTATTCAGTGATATGCTTCATTGCCTAATTTTGTATTTTTTCCCGCATTTTTCGCTATCTTTCTTTCTCTTTCTCTTTCTCTCTCTTTCTCTCTCTCTAACTGTCTGTCTCTAACCTCTGGTGGACATCATTAAGTGCTAATTGATCTCTTGTAAAAGGTTAAAGCATGTCTTTGCACAATTTTTTGCAATAAAATCAATTCTTTTTAGCAAATAAACTAAATGTTGCGTGAATGCACACAGCATTAGAAATTAAATAAATAAAACATGTAACTAACTCACTTATACCCCGATAAAAGTTGACAAAACATTTTTCGTAGAAAAAAGCGAAATCCATGAAAAATTTTTTTATCTTCAATGCAACACAATGAGACCTTACGTAATTTTCCGTCTGTTTGTATTTAATGTTGTTAGCATCTGCAAAAAGCGTACATTATTAATCTCTCGTTTAAATCTCTCCACAAAACTGTTGTTTTTATTGTTGTTTTTGTTATTATTATTGCTGTTGCTGTTGCTGTCGCTGTTGCTATTGCTGTTGCTGTTGCTGTTGCTATCGCTATCGCTGTTGCTATTCTTGTCGTTAATGCAGTATATATGCACATTTAATTATTGTTACCATGAACCGTTAAATTTGATTACCGTTAAAAATCCAAAATGTACTCTTTCATAAAAAATAAAAATAAAATGAAAACAACAACAACAAGAAAAATTTATAAGAGAAATAGATAGATAGTAATGGAGAGAGAGAGAGAGAGAGAGAGAGAGAGAGAGAGATAGCGAATGAGAGGGTGATCAAGAGGTAAAGGTGAGGCAAGAGGACATCAATTGAGTTATCAAGTGAAGGGAGGTTAAACAAATTATGAACTGTTAAATAATGCCAGAGCTTATAAATGCATGCATTTGATTTCATTAGAGCAGACAAGTATTATTTTTTATTTTTTATTTTTTATTTTTTTTTTTCATTTGCAATTTCTGCTAAAGCTGTTCATTTGTTTATATAAGAGTTTCGAACTATATACGGGGGTCTGTCGCACATATATGTGCATACACACCGTACCAGCATCTCAGTATTTTTTTATTTATTTTTTTTTTAAAAGACTTAAAGACTAAAGCAATGTAACAAAGCTACATATATTCACCTTAGGGCGAATCTTTAATACCCACCGTTGAAAGCCTGCATACGAGAGTGCCTAGCCCGTAACTTCATACTTGTTCTATGAATATGAACTAAAAATTAATTTGAAAAGATTCTATTTTATGTGATTAAATCGTTGTCGCGCGAATTCCGATTTCTAGATATTCGGCGGACGGATAAAAAATTAATATAGAAGTGTTCGTCTGACTGGAAAAGTGTCAGATGGAAGATCACAATCGTTTTTGGACTACACGTACACGGATAGCGAAAAGCGTGAAAAGCGTTACATAACGTCTTAGTCCAATATATTCAAAATGAATGATTAGTTACAAGTGTTTTAATGCATTTGTGGGTGTTGCATGCATTTTAATATTCTCCCGGTTAAAGATATCCACGAATATATAAGTTTAAGTTACGCTTTCTACCTTTCCTACCGCGTTAGCGTCCGCGGAAGAGTGTGCACACAGAGAGAGAATTGTCTTAGAATTCCACACTTGTTTAGAAAATCTATACTGATGATGAATATTTCTCGATAGTACGAACGAGAAGACAAATTTAATATATCCTCTATACTTCGGTGGTAAACATAAACACTACAAAAAATAAAAAAAAGAAGAAAAAAAAAGAATTTGCAAACGACATATCATCTATGTTTGTAAAAAGTTTTCCATGGAAAGACACAAAAGTGCATCTCAATCGTGGAAAATGTGCGGTAGCATACGCTGCCGCTCCTGCTTCTGCGGCTGCTGTTGCTGCTGTTAGTTGTCTAAAACAAGCTGGTACACATGCATACACTATAGTATATATATATATAGTATATATATATATATATATATGTAAATGGTGTAATATGTGATGATGATGGTGCTATTATTTACTCGCATACGTGTGTGCGTGTACATATTTAGGTATTCACTGTACTGTATTGGTAAGCGGAGTGCATGCAAAATGCTTACAACCGCATCCTCCACGGGCAATTTAATTAAATTGTTGCCGGTTGTATGTTAGTTTATATATGAATGTATGTACATTGTCTACTCTTTACGTTATAAGTTCGTTTTTTTGTTTTTGTTTTTTTTTTTTTTGCTTTTTAAAGTTTTGCTTCTTAGACAAACAGACAACAATTGCAACAATAGAAACATATCAAGAAATTGTTGCCTAGCTTGCTGGCTGCTGTTACTCTTTGCAGGTTTATTACACTTTTTTTTTTATTCATTTATTTCATCTAAAATCATTGGCAATTGTGAGACTTGCTTGTATGTTTGTTGCTATGTTCATTGTCGTTGTTCTTGTTTTGGTGATGGTGGTACAAATTTATGCAAAATTTTTTTTATTTCTAAATGAGTCAACAAAGTTGTTCACAATTGCATTAGTTGAATGCAATTGGCAATGAAGCATTTATCCCTTATTTTTTTTTTATTCTATTTTTTTTTTTTTTTTGTCTTTCTATTTTAGTATTCCTTTTGCTTTGTTTCTTCATAAGATAAAATATAGGGGGAGCCTGGCTATGGTAGAAAACAATAACAGAATTGAAAAGTGCTCGAGGCAGCAGCAGCAGCAACAAGGAAGTCAACTGCAACAAAGAAGGGGACCAAGGCTTGAAAACGGATGCTAAAAATATTAACTACTTTTTAGAGGGAGAAAGAAATAAAGTAAGAGATAGAAGCAGAGAGAGCGAGAGAGAGAGGAATGGATATGGGGGCTTCCGCTAAAGCAGCTATCGAGCCATCGACCTACGCCTCATGCTTCCTTTAATTGATATCAAATTCATCTCTGGTCCACGATGGTGCGTGTTTCGAGATCAAATAGCATATATATAACGCATTTTTGATCAGGACATGGTGCTAAGACAGCTTAGCAACGCTCACCTGCAAACGACACGCGTTTTTATATCATTGTTAGAATCGCGATCGCAGAAAGCATAAACTACTGATGAGAACGTGTAAACAGCCTGGGCTGTGATGTGTTGTGCTGCGCCGTATTTATATACAGCTTCCTCCACGACAAGAGATTTATCCATCAACTTTTACCCTTCATGAGGCTACTTGGCTTTCCCAGCGCTGTCACCCAACCGTGCTGGAATTGCGCGAATACCGCATCGTGCCTCAACCCCTCTCCCCTCTGTATATATTTCTCGCTTTTTCCCTCTTTAGAACGAGTCTCACGCATTAACTTTGTCCATTGTTAAATTCTCCTCTCGTCTCACTCTATTTTTATATAAATTTTTAAAAAGCTTGCCGCTTGTACGCTTTCGCTTATGTAAACTCTCTATCTTTCGATCTCTGTATTTTGCTTTGTACTTTCTCAAGCCAATTATTTTAACCGTCAACAATGTCATTTATAAGAAAATACCAATTAAATCGTGGAAACACCCATATAACTAAGCAAATGCAATTGCGAGCGCAGACAGTTGAATATGATGATGATACAGCATTTTTGTACTTTCACTTAATTAGTTTTCAGTCAATTTAATTCTTGCTAGTTCTTATTATTATTATTATTATTATTATTATTATTATTTATTTCATTTCGTTTCTATTATGCCAGTTAGTCAGTTAGAATTTCTTTGTTTGTGTGTATGTATGTATGTATATATGTATGTCG